ACACATACATACACACACACACGCACATACATACACAGGTATACACACACATACACAAATCCAATCTTATTCTATTCAATATACTAGAACTGTTTGATTGTACAAATATTTAGCAAGAATATTTTCTTCCCTGAATAATGCATTAATGCTTGGCTGTATGTTTGCATAAATGAATGAGTGAATAAACGAAATGAATGAATGAATAAACATACATACACACACAAACACATACATACACACACAAACACATACATACACACACATACATATATACATTTAGATTAGATGTTCATTTTCCGATCATAAACATGTCTCTACTTTTCTCTGGATAATTTTGCATGACTCTGTCGTCGTTGCTGCTGCAGCTGCTTGTGGCTTCTTGTGGCTGCTTGTGGCTGCTGTGGTTTTGGTGGTGGTGGTGATGATGTTGATGTTATTTTCGCTACAATCCCTAATTTAACTTTCTTCTCTGTAGCATCCACTAAATACATTTCAATGTTTTTTCACCGCTCTGGTCCAAACAAAAATTCTTACATTAGTTCTATAACGTCTCCGGGTACAACAACTAATACTACTTTAACTTTCACTACTACTACTACTACTACTACTACTATTACTAGTAACAAATAGAATAAACAACAACAACAACAACAGCAACAGCAACAACGACAATGATTACGACAACAACAACAACAACAGATAGCAGAGGCCCTGAGTTACTTGCACACAACGGAACACATCCTTCACAACAACGTCTGCCCAGAAAATGTCCTCATCACAAAACGCGGCATGTGGCGTCTGTCAGGTTTCGGGTTTTCAGAGTGCAGTAAGGATGGCCAGTTCAAGGTCGGTGTCTGGTTGGTTGGTTGTTTTTGCACGTGTGGGCATTCATTCAGTCAGTCATTCGTTCATTCATTTATTTTTTCGTTCGTTCATTCATTCATTCATTCATTCATTCATTCGTTCGTTCATTCATTAATTCATTCATTCATTCGTTCGTTCGTTCATTCATTCATTCATTCATTCCTTCATTGTTTGATTCACTCACTCTATCAGGATACTTATGCCACAAGTCCGTGTTCGTCGAAGCAGCCGAAGATGGCCCAGCCTGATCTGGATTTCGTCGCTCCGGAGATCCAACTTCAAACTTCCAAATTCGCTACCTGTGGCGGCGACATATTCTCGCTCGGTGAGTACTGATGATGATGATAGTGGTGGTGATGGTGATGATGGTGACGGTGATGATGATGGTGATGATGATGGTGATGATGATGGTGATGATGATGGTGATGATGATGGTGATGATGATGGTGATGATGATGGTGATGATGATGGTGATGATGATGGTGATGATGATGGTGATGATGATGGTGATTGTGATGACGAAGTTTTGTTTATCCGTATCATCATCAACACCACCACTGCACCATCACCACCACCACCCCATCATCATCACCACCACTACCCCATCATCATCATCATCATGACAGGAATGATGATCTGCGCCATTTATAATGGTGGCAAGTCCATAATACAAGCCAGTCACAACGGTTCTCTCTACA